AGTTTTTTTTCTAAGCAGTAGCGGCGGGTCATACCCGTAAGAATTAGCTAGCCGTTCAAACTATTTTCATTGTCCTTTTGCGTGAAACACTCAAGTTCATTCGAAGTTAAGTAACATTACAAAAAGCGTTACATTCTGTCGTCTGTGCATCGTTTGTAACAGGAATGTGAATCTAATGTAACAGCGTGTCATTTCCAAGAAGAGGAGTATTTTGAGCCAGGAAGTCTTTGAGTAAAAAAAGGAATCATGGGGGAGGGGAGAAAAGGGCGAATCACAGAGGTCACAACACAATAAGGAGCCAATCAGGGAGCAACGATTCACTTTACACTGATGCGTCCTCCATCAGATTGGGTGGATGAAAAATGGTCCTTAATCAGGAAACATCATGAGAGACAGACACAGACGAGGACAAGAGACAAGTGAAAGTCTATACCCCCCCCCCCCGCCCCCCCATCGCAACATGTACGAGGGCAATTTGTCTGCCTACTAATAACCCCTGAGGGACGGAGAGTGATGAGTGGCATCTAGCTGCTGCTTTTCTAAATATGTGTGTGTGTGTGTGTGTGTGTGTGTGTGTGTGTGTGGAGAGGTAATGACAACAAGGACCAGAGCCAGCTGGTTAGCTTAGGGGCTCTGGAGACCTTGGTGCCAGGCTCATGGAAATCCATTTTTTTCCCCCGGGGGGGGGGGGGGGGGTAACAAGCAGCCGTTATGACCTGGTGAGCAGTTACACAACGAGGCCGAGGAGAGACGAGGAATTTTCCACTCAAACACAACTCACGTCTGACAACACAACTAAAGATGAGAGACGCTGGAGAGAGGAAAAAAAAAAATACAACGTGCTCTTGTACGTCATTTCTGTGACTGATGGTCCACCTAGAGGTGGAAGGAAAAATAACAGAATTGTACGTCTGTAATACTACAGAAAAGTGAAGAAAAGAAAATCGAAATAATGCAAAAAAATAATTTTAGGATTAATTAAAAAATGTGTTGACATTTTTTTAAAGCCTGGTGCGTCACCTGAAGCTGAAGCTCCACAAACACACGTGCTCGACTGTGAGAATGTACATTAGGCGTGAGCTGCTTCAGTGAAACAAAAACTTCACCAAACACACACACACGTGTGTAAACGACAACAATGTGTGTTGACGGTGTATTCGAACAACGACAGAGGGATTGCAGTGACAATCATTTTGTCCAGGTGTTAAAAAAAAAACCTAATTAATTCATTAGCAGAGTTAATGAGGTCACTTCAACAGCCCTAAAACAAACAAAAATCCATCCAACTATTTCACTCAGACTTGACATGTCTTTAACAAAGGTGATTACCTTGGATTTGTGGTTTGTTCCAAATGTCTCCTCAATGGCTCAAAAATAAGAAAAAGACTAAAAATATATATAATTATTTATCTCTGTTTATAAAAAAACAAAACTGAAAAAATGAAAATCCTACTGTGGTTCTTTGTCACTGGTGAAACCCAGACTGTGATACAGTCAGACAAACACCCTGGACCAAGTGTACAGTGAGGGGAGCCTGGGCTGGGACTCCCACCTGGTCACCTGGTTTTTATCTGTGCTGTAGAGTGTGGGGGTGTGGGGTGAGGCAGCCTGTCTGTTGCACAGGTCAAAGTCCACCGAGAAATAAAGTAAAAGACTCGTAAATGATTGATTAATGAGGGGCTGACGACGCAGGGGTGGGGGGTTTCAGGGAGGCGGGGGGGGGGGCAAAAGGAAAAAAGTTGCAAATTGTGAAATAAGGAACTTTAGCAAAAAAAAAAAAAAAAGTCCCAAATTTTTGTCGAGATTTATTTGTCAATATGAGTTATTCTGTTCAACATTTGAAGGAACACTTTGTTTCCTGAAAAGCAGGGGGCGGTGTTTACAACTGAAATGCCCTATTGGTGTAAAAGCTCTGCTCACTTTCTGTTCACCTGGCAGCTAACCAACTAGCTAAGAAATTTAAATTTTTAATGTTTTTTTTTTTAAATTTTACTGACTTATATGAAGACCACGGCCGTTTGAAAGCTTTTTGTTTGAATACGTCAGGTTTGATTTCAATTAACAAATAAAAAAATTCAGCATATTTTCACAGTTAGGTTTTGATATCCAGGCTGTAGAATTTTGATTTACATACAGGTTTTTCCAAGTGTTATAGTGTATATTATGAGTACATGAACATGCTAGCTAGATGCTATTGTTGTTTTCGTTTTTTTCCACATGGTAGATTTGTACAATGACTGATCTGACCGACGTGATGCCTCGACGTGAACAAAGCAAATACCATTCAACGAAAGCGCGATAAAATCCAGGACAGATAAAAGCACACGGCGTCGGGCCAGAGGCCGCAACGAGATGATGTGATCAAAGTCCAAGCTGCACTTTGAGATTCCAGAGAGTAAAGCATTGATTCACTGTGGAGAGAGTGATTCCCTGCACATCTCCGGTAGATCATTTAATAACCTCGGTAAATTATGTCACAGAGCTTCGGCTGCAGAGGCAGAGAATTATATATTCTGCTTCGTGTGCTGCCACGACGGGAGAGAGGAGAAAGGAGGAAGGAGAGAGGAGGGAGGAAGGAGGGAGGAGGGAGGAGGCACGGGAAGATTTCTGCAGATGAGAAACCCAATGCAGAAGAAGAAATGTGCCTGTAAAAAGGGGCTGTCTCTGGTTACGAAAGGAACGGGTATGATTTATTTACAGCAGTAAATGGGTGTAAAGAACTCCAGGAGAGCGCTCAGGTAGGCCTGCGTGTGGCGCTTATGGAGGGCCGGGCGTGCAGACGACTCAGCCGAGCGACTAATTGAGACAACTTAAATGACGGCGTGGATGGAGAGACCTCTAAATTATTTATGACTGCACCAAAGACGGCCTGTGGGTCAGCGGTTGCTGCTGCTGCTGCTGCTCATCCACAGACTGTAAACACTTGTGCAGTGGCACTTCATGTCATCAAATGGCTCTCCAATGAAGTACCAGTTAAAAAATGACTCACACTATCGGGTTAATCATACTTCTGGCAAAAGATCTCACACAACAACTCACTCTGGCCAAACAAAAACAGTTACACAAAATACACTTAAACACGGTGCCCCAGGAAGGCACCAAACATGTGATTCCTCTGGGAATCGAACCCATGACCCTCTGCTTACAAGGCAAGGGTGCTAACCACACTATGAAACCACAAAGGTGAAATAATCCAAAATATTCAAACGGTTATTTCCGAGCTACCAATCCATGCAAACCTTTGTCCACTTCTTTAAAAGCCGTTTTGTTTTTGTTTTTTTTACGTAATCATCAGTCCAGCTGTTCCGTCTGCTCTGCACTGATAACCTGAGTTCCACATTCAGTCAACAGCTGATAAACAGGGAGGTCCCATCTACATGTCATCTGTACGAAACTTCAGACATTCACCAAAGTGAATACACGAATGCGTCGGTTGCATTAACCAGTTTGTCCAATCATAAATGGGCTCTGTGACTAATCATTAACTGACGTGAACTAAAACCATGTCTCAACACTGCACAAAAAGTTTCAAGCACAAATGAAAGTAATTCAACTAATATCAGTGGTACAGAACTCAAACAGGAGCACGTACCCACTGATCTACTGTCTGGATCAGTTGAACTGTTCTTTACTGTAACACAAGACGCCTTCACTCCGTCCGGCAACTCACCAGAGCCGATGTTGCTCTGAAGACTCCCTCTCTTACGAAAAGGAGATTTAGGTTTGGGCTTCTCTTGTCCATTGGAGGTGGAGGAGGAGGAGGAGGTTGACATCTTGACTGCGATGCTCCTGCAGAGGGAGAGAGGAGCTTTAGCCGTGACGCTGAAGCTCTGTCTAGAGGCTGGGCAGAAAGGAGGCAGGGCCCACAGCGGACCGGCAAACGCTGCTCCTCTGCAGAGCTGGCCCCGCCTCCTCCTCCTCGTGCTCCCTGCCTGCAGCAGCAGCAGCAGCAGGTCAACAGACATGCGGCACCATGACAGGCTTCCCCCACGTCCGCCGAGGACCGTCCTCCTCGGTTGCTCTAGCAACCGTGCTCCTAGCTTCCTGTAGCCAAGACGGGGAAAAGCAGCTCCGGAGAAGAGCATGTTGATCTTAGTGAGAGAGCAGCATAACAGCAGCCAAGCCGGGGGAAACTCACCACCGTCTGCCAGCTGAGGGCCAAGGTCAGCAAAGGACAAAAAAAAAAAAAAAAAAAAAAAAGTTTCCAACCCTCTAAAAATAGCTACAGTGTGTCCAGACAGAGTGTTTTCAGCCCAGAGGAGACGCAGACGAAGCTCCAGATGATAAACAAAGTGGCAGAATGTTTGTGCAGACGAATAAAGAGACAAGATTAGTCTGTAAGCTGACGACTGAGCTCCCAATCTGCTTTGCTGGAAAAGTCTGAGAGACAAGAGAATCTGAAAACAGTGGAGCGACGCGCCTCACACGTATTATAAATAGTGACAGGCGACAAACAAAACAGAGCTGACAAGTACTGTACGTCTAACAACCTACTGTCTCATGAGGACTGAGGAAACAATGAAAAACCTGTTGTGTTGATTTGTGTTGTAAAAGTCAACGGAGTCGGATGTGAATCAACTGACTTTTGTACTTTTTTTTTTTAGAAAAAAAAAATTAAATACATTGAAAACTTTTTTTGGTATTTTAAACACAAATATATTTTATTTTTAAAAATTCTCTAAAATGCTAATTATTTTGTCAACAAATAATTAAATTTATAATATGTATTGTATCAGTGAAATTGCTAGACCCTTCTTTAACTTATCAGCCACCGCATTATATTTCTATCAGACCGAAGTTGAAGGTTTAAGGCTAGAAAACATAATAAATGGCTCCATCTAGTGGTGTGATGGGATAACTGCATTTGCACAATATATAATTATCCTGATACCGTCTGAGATCTGGCGTTTCATCACATATGGGAAAGTACAGTGCAAATCAATCACCAATTTAAACAGACATTTCAACGGAATTCAATAATATATATTTAATTTATTATATGATTTTGTTAGAATATTTAATTAATGTTGTCATGTAGGCTGATATTGATTTATTTTAAATCCCTCAAAACATTTATCATAATTACACTATAAGAGTTGTAATTTAGGTGATTAGAATATTAGAATACAGCCCAGGACCAAATTGACAACATTAGTTGTACTTTAGGTGATTAGAGTATTAGAGTACAGCCCAGGACCAAGGCTGAGTTGAGATTCAAAAAAAGAAAAAGAAAAATTCATGAAAAATAACAATGTTTCCATCGTTCTAAGAAAAACAAAAAATATTCATGAAAAATAACAATGTTTCCATCAGAGAATTCAGTAAATTATTTAGAGATGTAACAACCTGTTTATTGGACTGAAATTTAGTCCTTAGTCTTTTTGGTATCCTTCAAATGCTCTTAAGGTTTGGGGGAATAAAAAAAAAAATCCCAGATGGCACTAGAAACAAAATAACCTATTGCAAAGCTTCACCAATTTCGAAAGGTCGGTTTGGGGGAATAATAAAAAATTCCCAAATGGCGCTAGAAACAAAATAATTGCAAAGCTTCACCAATTTCGAAAGGTTTCTATTGAAGGTTGGGTAAATATTTAATTTTCGTTCAATGCTTGACAAAGACACGGCGCTAAAAGTAAACAACACGATACTTTTATAACTATAACCTACAGCACCAGGTCAAACTTTAAAAAAAAAAAGTGGAATTAATAAGACAATCCTTTGGCTTTGGTACACCAAAGGTACACCTATGGCCTTCTTGTGGGTCACAGAACCTGCGATTGAGAAACATTGCGTTGGGAAACATTAACACACGAGACCACAAAGTGAAGCAGGTGTCGTAATTTAAGATTAAAACAAAGAGGACGTCACTGCTGTGCTGTAAAACAGGGGGTTTTCTGTTGTTATCTAACGTAACATTTTGAAATATTTATTGCACCATCTCGCTAACGTTCATGGACTTACCACGTGACATCCTTGTAGAGCAGCTTGATTGTAGACAAAAAATAAAAAATAAAAAAAACGCGTGCGCACACACACGGCACGGAGGTTAAATACTCACAAAAGTTAGTTTAAAAAAACAATATTCACAACCCGGAAATGTGCTCTCGGCTAAACGTTAGCCGTAGAAAATTCGTGAAGCTACGAGCAGCGTATCCAACGGTCAAAGAGTTTAGAGTCTGTCATTTGTTTGAAGAGCTAAAAAAAAAAATCCTCGTTCACCTTTAGTCGATATCGACTTTTGACGTAATATCTTTCGTTTCCCTTTTAAACGGCAGAACTCTTAAAGGGACCGCCCTGTCCCCCGGGCTCTCCCCTCCTCTCTCTCTCTCTGTCTCGTTATCTCTCTCT